TATTGTAATGAATAATATCTTGTGAATACGAAGTGAGACACGGTCCGTTAAAGTAAATTTCAGCCACTGATAAATTGACGATGCTTCTATACTACAGTATCCATTACCGGGAAGTCGGCCAACGATGGCCTTGAAAGGCCACTTAAAGCATAATGTTAATTACTGATAGCGAACACAAACTGTTGCCTTAGTGAGTTTACACCCTCCCCTAACATGAAGCGTTGTGATTCTTTGATTGGTGGAACGCTCTATCTTTGCAATATATCGACACATGAATGGGAAATAGGGTATGCTAGAAGACGAATGATTCCTTTTTAGGCTGGGAGGGCGTTCTACATTGGGGTGTAATTTTTCATCGCAAATCTGATTTTTGCAGGTGTCCCCATTAGTGAAAGATAGTTAGAAGATGAATTGACATGCGAAAGAACAGGGAGAAATATCAGATTGGCAACTCTGAAGCAGATGGGCGTTTTTAGTGAAGGCGTTTTAAAGAGCGCGTTTCGGCACCATATTCCTAGTGCATGCCTCCTTAGGCGTGTAAAGCATGCTCGGAAGACCTGAGATAACAGGAAGAGTATAGCCATCTAACGGAGCACTGTTATTAAAGATAAGTGTACAGTGTGTCGCGCACGGGGACACACGTTGTTGTGGTACGGCGGCACGCGGTTCATTGATGCAGGGTACTATCATACTAGTTTTCAGCATTACAAATGGCCTGGATTGTTATATATACTCGGTGATTTCCGCGCAGGCTAATATGCCGCATTGGCGCGGCCATACCGCTAAACTAAGCACAGATAGAGCATTGGTTAATGGGCGACAGCTATTCCTCAATAACATCGTAGGCACAGCGTGCGGCGCCCTCACACATGAAGTTGTCCTCTCCTCCTATGTAGAGTCATTTGAGTGACACTAGACACCCAATTTCTCACGCAACAGCCACACGCACACAAAAAAACCCAATAACCCAAATAATATGTTTGTGATAATACTACTAACAGTGACTGAGTAAGCGTCTATGTTCACTCTAATCCGATTAGCAGTATCCTACTTGATTTCGGATGCCACTATCTAAACAAACCCGCAATCATCGGTTATCTTCCTCAGACATTTACCAACCAATAGGCCGTTAAAGGCATTCGGATACTCTTCCCCTATAAAGCAGCACTGATTACTCATTAAGAAAATGTGAACTTACGATTTCAAAAAAAGCGACTTCCTCTCTCTCTCTCTCTCTCTCTCTAATAAAGTCGACAGCAAAACAGCAATTACAGCACAGTTTGAACAACCTATGTACAGTGCACGAAAGAGACATGGACAGTGCACAAACATCAAACTAAGAAGCATGAAACCGTGGTTCCCGAGCTGATGGTTACGGTGATTTTGACGATGGTGGTTAATTTGCTAATATTGGTGGCAGAGGACTAGACGGGTTTAGGTGGTATGTCTGTCGTGATGACACTGCGGTGAGTACCACTGTTACTGATACGCATATGGTCGCTCAGACTCATGCAGTGTCTGCATATCCTGTAGCATTGCGGTAAAGTGCGACGCGGTGACGAGTGTATGTAGGGTCTACAAACATTGGTTCACCGGCGTGGTGCCATGGATTCGCGAACGACCGGCCAGGCCTGTGAGTAATGTGAAGATGAGGTCGTAATATGCAGAGGTTTAATTTGATTCCATATTGCTGACGACGGCGGTGTTTTGTCAGGGAGGTAGGAGTGTCCTCACCCGTGTTGCCAGCTGCGGCGGTGAAGGTGATGTTTTGAGTTGAAAAAGGTTGGTCGTGTCGACACTGCACTGGGTCCGTAACGGACTAACAAGGCATATCCGTGTCCGTAACTTCCGTCAACAGCGTGGACACAATGTCAGGGTTTGAATGCAGGGGTCACTGGTTCGTAGTATTTGAGTCTTGTGGGTCTTCCTCCCTGCTTTGGAAGCGGCCATTCGGTTGGCTTTGGAGATAGTTGCTCTGGACTATACTTAAGTGCGCCATGTCTGTCGATCACGAGCAAGGCTCCCCGAGGTCTGTGGGTTGACCTACAGGTGCTTGAGGAAAGTCTTCAAAGTGTCCTTGTAATAAAGCCTCTCCGCCTTGTATATGACCACCCGCAGCTACCTTGCCGTGCCATTGACGCTTGAGTAGTCTTACTGTTTCTGATAATAAACAGAATGCGTTGGCCACGTCTCGGCTACCTAATCAATGTCTGGCTGGTTGCCGAACACCAGAATCGGAAACGAAGACACCATATTTTGGCATGGACTTGGTGTTTTGTACGGAAATTTCGGGAGCGAACTATATGTTTCCGAGAGAAGGAAACTTAGTCATCCTGTGTTCGACAATTCACGGAAAAGAGATATTGCATCTTCCCGTCCGATTTTGTGAAATAATTGCAGTATCGAAGTTCAACTCTGATGCATGGATGCAGGTGCTGGAGAAGGGAAGAACAGAGGGGGAAGATGAACACCACAATGTGCTCGTTGACCCTGTACAGGGAAGGCCCACGTAGGATATTGCCA